TATGCACATTTAGTCGCAGGCGACTATGAAGGATTGTCATTGATGATAGTGAGTCGTTGGTACGGTAACGCTTAGTCGCGAGCGACATGAGAATCAATCACGAACATAGCTAGTCGCACACGACGGTGATGTACGATCACATGTGACAATCAGTTGTAGACGCTATTAGTCACGGATGACAGTGAGGGCTAGTCATAGGTTATAGTTAGTTGCAGATCACGGACAGTCATGGTCGCAAATTGAGCGACACGTGACGTGCACATAAGTGCTTTGGCAAAAGTAGTGTTATACACTAAAAACTTGTAAGGTTCTTGTTAGTATAGATATGTCTTTCATTGATACTAGATCATTGAAAGAGGGTGAGAGCTCTTAGGATTTCTGTACTGACAAGGGAAAAATCTTTGCTCACAGATATGGTTGTGGAGGAGTTTTGATCATAATGTGATTTATGATCAAGACGGAGCACCGGTACTGGTGAAGTTCCTTAGCTGATGATTGAACTAGTCAATCTTGATATTAAACTCTAGTGATTGAGCTAGTCAATCTTGACGGTAAACTCAATCTAGTTGATGCGTTGATTAAAGTTCTTACTTTGAAGAGTTTGCATGCCGTACTGTCATTGTGCTGTCATGCAGGTTGTGCATGAGGAGTAGAGTTAGAGTTTGCTAACATTGTATATTTAGTGATATCTTTATATATTTACTTTATCCTGTGATGGATATAATCTAGTTAACTCTCGTGTAAAGAGTGGCCTTATATTAAGTTTCTTTCTAGAACTTACCGTGCAATAATTATATAGATTACAAGATTTTTGTTCTCTCTATGCTAGCTAGTTTTTAGTAAACTCTTTATGTTATTACTCTATATTGTTATAGCTACAGCTTAGTTCTAGTTAACTCTTAAGATGGGTGTACGGTGAGTTTTTATGACAAGACCTAGAGTAAAGTGCTAAGAGTCTGGGTTGACGTAGCACTCTTCTTGATTGTGAACCACATTATTTTTGTGTTGTTATATCTCTCTTGGATTTTTCACGTACACAGTAGAGAGTATTTTTTATATTAAAACATGAATTGAAAATCATCATCTAATTTAATGTCTATCATATATGAATCATTGCAAAAGAATCATATTCTTTTAACGAATTTACACTAATATATAATGAAAAATAGTCAAATTGCTATTCTAGGTTAATTATTTCTCTATATAACTATATTATATGATAATTAAAGGTTGACACAGTAGTTCAAAAGAGCCTGAACCTCCAAATTGAAGCAAAATAGTTTCTTTAAGGGAGCCGCTAACCAGCACTCACCTTTGGCTAACCACCAATCACCCTGTCTATATAGAACCCCTAGGCTCGTTTTCGAGGCCTGTGATTGGCTGGAACCATTCAATATTATCACGAAAAGATAATTTGCCACCGCCAGAAAACCATTTTTGTATTAAATATTATTTGAGCTATTGTCTATCTATCTTCTTCAATATCAGAGAGATGCGGGAGGTGAGGGAGGTTGCTCGCAACGTCGAGCATTGTGACCAGACTGACGCCACCTTCCACATCTTCTTTGGGGTCTCACAGATGCCTCAACCACCTCAAACTGTGAGGGATCCCTCTGTGTAGAGGTAGAGGTAGCACGTTGTGGTCTCCCCAAGAAACCTGCAGGACGGCCGCGGCCGCGCAGCACAGCAGGATTAAGGACATTGGCGGTTGGCAAGGTGGCAATATGATCTAGGATCACCCTTTGGTGGTAGATAGATGCATTGTTGTACTCCTCATGAAACCTGCCCGAGAGCATCTTCAATTTTCAGTTTTGCTGCTATTGCTGGTGCTGCACGACATGGCTGCACCAACCACGAGTGCACGTCAAAATCTTTAGCAGAGAATGTCATTGCTGCTGGTTGTGCAGTTGACCTCGCACGGAACCAGCGCTTGCAAGGATGCTCAAGGTTTGATGAGAATAAACCTTGGCAGGCGTCCCCGCTATTTTTGAATCTCAATTTGAATTGCCGAAAGGCTGACTTCAATCCTGCAACTGAAATCTTCCCCATAACTACCGCAAAAATTGGCCCAAACTGCATGTCTGCAATTGATTGTTTGATGTCAGTTTGGTGTTTGATAGTGGCAAACTGCCCATCACAGGCAGGACGGCATGCTTAATCTACCCTCAAGAGGTCACCTGTGGAGACCGAGATCCACTTTTTCAATGCCGAGTGTGCGCTCTCTACCCTTGACGTGGTGGTATGGCCAAAGTGTAGCTTACCTCGCAGAAAGCAAGCTACAAACCTTTCCTTATAGACAAGCCATGTTGTCTCAAGATAGGCCATGACATGAAGTGGGAACATTTCTTGCATAGCCTCAAGCTGCTGTTCATAACATGCCACTGTGATTGAAAACACAAGAGCGTTTCACTGCTTGAGTAGCTCCGGAAAGGCCTCCAATGAATCAAATGATAGTCGATGCTTGGCAGTTATGTTCTTGCTGTTATGCCAGCGGTAGAGAAGGAAGTCAGCATCAGGAAACACGTTGTCAAGCGAGTTCATCAAGACCAACTCCCGGTTAGTGACAAAGGTGGATGGAATGACCCCAAACTGCTACAAAACGCGCGCCACAAGCTGCACCGCCCACAGGTAATTGTCTTCTGTCTTAGCTGCCATGAAGCAGTATGCAAACGTGAACGTCTGCGATGTGGCGGTCACGCCTACAACGTGCATCAATGGCAGCCCAAAACGGTTGGTCTTGTAAGTTGAGTCAATCAACCATATTTTTGCCGCTGAAAACTTGCTGCAGACTTCCTTTGCTGATTGCGAGACAATGAACAGGTGCATGAGCCTTTGTTGGCCATCAAACTGCGTGAAATAAGGGGCCTCGGCCTCGTTCCCCTCAAGGTTGTCAAGCAGAGCTTTGAGCGGAGAACGGCCAGCCAAATTGCGGTTGCGCTCTGCTTGAATTAAGTTGTACACATCACGAGGGGTCACACTCATAGTTTTCCTGCGCATTGTACTGACTATGCGCGTTGGTCGCAGCCCATCTGAAGCAAGCCGAATAACCTCTTGGCGTTGGGCCGGGGTTAGAGCGCATCCTTGCGGGTGGACAGAAAGGTCGGCAAAGGGTGCATGGTTGTGTTCCTTGTCATCAAAAAACACCGCCCACTCTGTGCCATTTTGACGGCGTATGGTGCAGTTAAAGGTACATCTTGTTCCGTGGCTGCCACGCACGCGTTTGCATTGTTGCTGTTCTGCTTCTGCCTCTGGCTGTGGCCGTGGCTATTGTGCTCCACAAGAACAGTAGAGAACCACTGCTTTGATGTCACCATCTTTTTTGTTACCCACCCGCCTTGTATGCTTGATAGTCAAAACAAAGCCCTCATCTTGCAGTTGAGAGTCTACTGCCGCACGAGCCTCGTCTAGGGTGGCAAACACACGCTCTCCAAGCTCTCCAAGTAGTTCCAAGTTGTTCAGGTTGTTCATTGCAAAGAGATTGAAGTCCACACCTCCCGCATCTCTCTGCTATTGAAGAAGATAGATAGACAATAGCTCAAATAATATTTAATACAAAAATGGTTTTCTGGCGGCGGCAAATTATTTTTTCGTGATTATATTGAATGGTTCCAGCCAATCACAGGCCTCGGAAACGAGCCTAGGGGTTCTATATAGACAGGGTGAGTGGTGGTTAGACAAAAGTGAGTGCTGGTTAGCGGCTCCCTTCTTTAAGCTTTCTAGAAACATTCACAATGTACATATATCTTGTGTGAGACCAATATCTATTTCTCCAATCAATAGTCAATGAAAGATACAATGTCACAAGGGTTCTATTTCGAAATATGATAAGCATTAACTTGTGCTTATGATGATAATACAATCTTCTATTTACGGAGATATATATGACCGTAGAGAAATTACTATCTCTCAGCAAACATAGAGCAAAAGAGTAAGATGTGGCTATCTAAACTTTATTAATAAATATCATGGTAAGATATATATTTGTGAGCAATGCTACTTCATAGTTTGAAATGGAGATAAAGACTTGCGGTTTTAGTTAAAAGTCACATAGGAAGAATGTTAGAAAATACTCTATTGTTATCAGCTCGGGCTTAACAAGACAACGATCTGAGCTCTGAGCACAACTATGTGTGCACTGAGTGTACAATGTTTAGAGGTTACATTGACGATAGAGCATAAGAATATAAGACAACGTAAAGAGAGATGACCCTAAACCCCCGTACGAGGTTTGGTTTATACAAAGGCTTCCAAACCATGCTTCGACATATTAAAATTACAGATATTTGTTCAGGGGTTGAAATACAAGAGAATATGGATAACTTCTGTTAATGAATTTGGGTATTGTGTAAACAAAATGATGTCATTTCTACATCTATATTTAATGCATTTCCAGAGCAAAGGACTATCATTTGGAAATGGGGTGAATATTGACTACTCAAGTTAACGGTTTAATGTTTTCGTGTGGATCATGAATCCCACTGGGTTCAAGAGAAGATGAAGCCCATGCAATTCAAAGTTTAACAGAGAACTTGTGAATACATGAGGTCCATCTAGAAAATCACGTGATTTATAAGAATCGAACCTACGTGATACTTTTTAAAATCTGAGGTGCAGAAATTCGATTAAAAGTACAATGGGGAATATTCGGTATAAAGGAGATAGTTTTAACCTAAGCAGATTTGAAGAATCCTTCTACGTCAATTTACGTGATGTACTCATATTAACAGATTAGAACAAAAATTGTAGTTAGATGTCCGTAGACTTTCTTTCTGCCTATTGTTCTGGAATTTTCAAAAAATTCATTCGATGTTATGACTTACTTCTGATGAGATGCCATCTTTTAACTTTCACATTGCAATTGAGAAACTAGATTGTTCATCATGTTAGCACGATAGGCACTAAATGTGAGTATATTTTACCGCTTGTTCGGACCAAGGTAGAGTGTATTTAGTAAGATCAATCGATTCCGACAGTGATACGCTAGAACTCTTATGTGAAGGGCAGAGCAGAACCTGCGACTCGGCCCTATGCAGCTGTGTAAGGTCCTGTTTTCGTGATAACGAACATGCAGTATCTCAAAAATCAGATCTCAATAGATCTTTACGAGTACTGGCATAGTACAAGAGCAGAAGTGACCTTTAGGAGATTACGTGTTCAGATAATCTGAAGAAAAACTTTTTGCTCGCTTGTCCAGCTACGGACAGGAAAAGAATGATTACTCATGAATATTTTACAGTCTGGGATCGACTAAATATAATACAGTTTCACGTCAGACATGACAGAAATCCTCGTCATGCAAGAGTGGTAGAACCTTCCTGCGCTGCATCCGATGAAACCTCTTCCTGCCTTCATAGATCCTAAACAGAGCTGACCATGGGACGCTGAAAACACTATTCCCTGCATGGGACTCCTAACTCGTCCAGCGGCATGCTTGATATCAAAATACTGCCGAGCACAAAATGCTGAACGACCGACCTGTGTCATACGGCATCGAGCTGGTAACTGTGAAATGCCTCTGCTTCACGTACACGAAGCACATCTAGCGGCGTGCATGATGTCGACAAAATTGCAGAGTACTTGAGTACCCTTGACTTGATTCCCTAATCATCGTCGGATAAGTATATGACTTCAGGCCTGTTAGTATTCGGGGGCACGTTTGGACGGTCTACCAATTCTCCACACAACGCATCCACCGTGGGAACACCTCCACTTTGCAAATCCGCCGTGGCAACACCTGCCAATTCAGGTTCCCTAGGTGCCATTGTAGACAAGCCTGGGTGTGAAGTGGGAGGCGGCAGAGCCGAACTGCTCCAGTCGCCCACGGGACGAGACTCGGGCATTGGGATAGTGGATCCAGCCAAATTCACAGATTCTAAACCAGTGACTGATTCTAAAACAGTGTCTGTTACCACTGGTAATCTTTCAGTAGCTGCGACAGTTGTGCTCACAGAAACCAAACTCTCTGAAAATCCATCCGGAACGATTGAAGATTGACTCACCATACGACTTATTGCAGGATGATTACCCGTCCCGTCCATACTCCAAGATCTTCGCTGTGGGTTGACACTTCCAGTGCTTTGAGATGTCGAGACTTGTGTTGTGTGAGAATTTTCAAAACATTGTTGAACTGAACCGCCTGATGGAGGATTAGAAGTTCCGGATCCTGTACTGGTGTGAGTCCAAGGAGGTTCTCCAGAAATTCGACTAGGCAAAGTATCTGTTGTACATGGCTGAGGAGCCATAGGAGTAGAACTCATGAGAGAAACACCATTATGCCAGTTAGCAGGTCTAATGATGCTGTTGGGACTGCAACTTTGCCACAACCCGATACCTGGTGACCCACCAAGTCCATTGACTCGGCCAGACGACTGGACAGGCAGTGCACCAAGTGGTCCCCTGCTAGGATTATTTACAGCAACATTTGAGCTACCTGTATATGGGGAGCTTGCTGAAAGGTTGCTCTGATGCGAGGTAGGTAGCATGCGACCAGCCGTAGGAGGGACTGATAATCTTGGCCCAGTTGATAAATTGTTGTTTGGTTGTACGTTACCTAGAGCGCTTTCAGTTCTCTGACCTTCCACATCTGTTGACGGGAAAATACTGCTCTGGTACGGACTAGGAGTCGGATGGGTTGCAACCGAAGAGGACGAGAAGCCTTGAATGCTTGCCGGGGATAACTCCCCCTGCGAAGCGGATCCAATCCTAGAGGGCACAACATTGTTTTGGTGAAAACTTTGCAAATATGCACGATTGGCTGGTGAAGCTGCAGACACCACTTGCCCATTTCCAGTATTGGAGATGCCTTCACTGCTGACCGGTGCAACATGACGTATCGGCAATGTACTTGTTGGTGCAGGTTGTACTTGGCCTCGACTAGACGGACCTACTATTCCAGTCTGTAAACTTCTCATTTGCCCACTCCCTGCGGCAGATTCGTCACCTTGCTGAGCTGTGGGCATCAGTGCGTAATTTGTTAAGTCGTAGACGGACATAACCACCTTACGCTGAGTAACAAGTTGAAGAGCTTAAAATGAATGACAGGGGAAAAAAGACAAACATACAGGTAGCGAACCAACTCTAATTACACTCTGATGTTACAATAGATCCTCAACATCTCTAAAAAATGTTATTGAACTACTATGTTTAAAATCCAGAAAACTTCTTAAATAATCGGTGGTTAGCACACCATCTGATAGGAGAAACCATATAATAATGTTGATGATACGTACCCGTAGCGCGATGCTGGTATGCGACGTCAAACATGCCTCTGGTTCTCAAAGCCTCGGCCAACAGCCGACTACGGTGCACTTTGACGTGGGTTTGATGGATAGCTAAACTTTGCTGATTGTAACTTCGGATGTTCTCTTCAAGCAAACCATCAAACTTCTTCTTCAAGTCCGCCATCAATGCTTCAAATTTCCTCTGGGCATCCTCAGCCTCTCTTGCATACTGCACCTTCAGTTCGGCGGCCTATATTGCGCGACAAAGACAAGAAGGAATTCCAGTTAATCTATTACGAACAGTCTGTATCCGAAGATTCTCTAGTTCTAAATAACACCAAGGAAAGCCACAAATCTGTGTTGAATTCAAAATTTAGACTACAGTTCCTTGGACAAACAACTTACCTTGTGTTCATGGACAGCCCTAAGCTTCTCTTTCTCCTTCTTCAATCGAGTCTCTTCCTGTAAAATAGGATCAGGACCCAGCATACTTGCGGGGATTGGAGGAAGAAACATAGCCTGGGTGTATGTTGACATGATCGTATGCCCAGTATGGCTTCCTTGAGTAGCAGTAGAAGAAACTACCGTACTCGGTAGAACATGGCCTTGGTTGCCAATTTGTTGTGACTGAGGTTGCTGTCGCGTGTATGCTGGGAAACCTTGTCCAGAAGAAGTAGCATGCCATGATGCTTGCTGGCGTTGAATCGTTGGTGTTTGCACTTGTCGTGCTTGGATGTTTCTTTGCTGCTCAGCTGAAACCTGCCACGCTTGTGCTGTCCATTGTGGCTGACTGGGAGGTGATGGCTGCGAAGCGAGCGTCCTTCCTGCATGATGAGTAAGTTGAGATGGTACAGAGTTAGCCACTGGAAACTGAACTGCAGAGACCTGTTGATGAGGTGACTGTAGGTTTTCTTGAACTGGTAAATACTGTTGTCGTGGAGATATAGTTGGCCGAGGAGGCAGGGATTGGTGTACTTCGTGCGCTTGAACTGGGGAGAGACTTGGTTGTAATGCCTGCGGTGGATTCCTAGCATGAGACATGTGTGAAGCAGGAGCAGCTGATTGCTGAATTTGTGCCATAAAAGCCATAGACGGAGGATGAGGCTGCAACAACTGAGACAGTTGAGTGTCAGACGATAATAAGGGTTCAGATTGCTGTAGCTGAGACGGCTGAGTTACATGAAGAGGCTGAGGATGACCTCCTGCGTCTGCAACGGCCTGAAGTGGAGACAGATTCTGTATGGCTTGAGTCAGATCCGGTGATTCACGATTTATCGGAGTTGGAGCCTGTACTACCGTCAGCCCAGTCTGACTCCTGACTTGTTCTACAGGATCTTCAATAGCATCCACCGAAGCCTTCTTCCTCTTCGCATGTTCTGAAATGGCACGCAACACACTTTGGGCCCCTGCTGCAGATTTTACTCCAATTTTTGCCAAGATGCTCTGTGCTTCCAAATAAAGACTACGTGAAGTTCCCGTACCCAACTGTTGAAGCAGATCACTGTATACTGAATGTATTTCATCACGTATCTTTCTTTGCCTTTTAACTAACATGCCGTGTTGTTCATCGTACGCCGTATCAACTTTTCTCAAGTCTTCCGCGTGTGTCTCCGTTTCCACTCTCAAAGCATTCGTTCTTTGTACTGAATCGACCATCTTCATCAATTCAGCAACTCTCTCCTGATGACGCTTTAGCAGGCCTTCTTTAGCAAATGTTCTCGACCTGTTGAACTCATTCAGTTCCTGAGTTTGTTGGTACACGACGATTGAGTTGATTTCATGCCTCTCTGTTTTCAACTTTTCATGAATCTGCTCCTTGTTCATCTGGGATACCGAGGTTTGCATGATCTCTTGAGTAACAGAAGTCTCACCTAAAGCCTGCACCTCCTGTAAACTACTCGCTAGAGCGTCCGCGTTTTGAGCAGGCACTGTCGACGATACCTCTGGTAATCCTTTGGCTTGGAGTTCCTTGTCCTTCTCTGTCGATTGACTTTGATCCGCGTGAACACTGGCAACAGCTAAATTTGGTGAGGAATTTCGTTGATCAGGGCTCTCTGGCTCCTCAACAATAATGGTGGTCTCACGACAATCCGGTGTTTGAAGAATTGGTGGTTTGTCCACATCTTGCACTGGCACGCTGTTCTCTGGACCTTCAGAAATAGGCATTGGGATTGGCACAGATAGCTCATTTTCCGTGGACTTCGACGGTCTTAATGGATCCGGAGCGATGTCTGCTTTTTGCGCTTGGATGTGTTGCTCTGTATCTGATGCCGGTGTCAACGGTAACGGATACTCCTTGCAACAACTCACAAACTTTTGATAGTTATCGGACCATGATTCTCTCTTCAGTTTCACATCCATAGCCTCTTCCACTCTGGACAGGGTTGTCAAATGATCGAGTTCTTGATGGAAACGTTCGGCAGCAACCACACACTGCGACATGAACAAATGGAAACTATTTCAATTGTAATAAAGCTACAGAAATCATCTGATGTAAGCTGAAACCACAATTGACCATATAAACATGACTACTTGAGATACATACACGATACAATGAGATCAGAAGTAAAACATCGTTCGGTGTACGTACGAGAGCGATCTGCACTTGGAGCACCAGATCCTTTGGATCTTTGGGCATTCGATAGCTTTTCATGCAGTACACCAACAGCTGATCTGCGTAGGTTGCAATCTTCTCCTGCATACAAAAGTTCAACATTGCAGGCACAATATCAGTCAGCTGGAGTGCTAACATATCCAGTATTGAAAGATACTGTAAGCTTCATAGGACTGTTGCGGCTTTAGAATAAAATGCATAACAGATCAAAGCCTTCAATTCTACCAAACTCTTTTGTCTGACGTTATGCATAAACGCCACTGTAGAAAACACCATAGAACCACACAACCTGGTAAGCAAAGTCCCCTATTAGTCCACCACCTCAAAAAAATGGACACTTACCGAAAGGTCTAAAGTCTTGCATATCTTGATGACATCTGGTCTCCAAAGGCCTAACATAATCTGCTGCTGCTCACTGCGGGTTTTCCTCCCTTCCTCGCTTGCTGTTGCGTTTACACCACCGGCGGACTTTGTGGAAGTCTTCCCTGGAGGTAAGGATGACACAGATTCTTCCCTTTGCGTCATGGGTGTTTGAGATGCGGATGTATCTTCTTCGGCCTGCCTCGCCCCTCTGACGTTTACAGTTGCTGCTTCCACATGCTCACCTAGCGAAGCGTCCAAGTTATTCAAGTCTTTCGTGATGCAACCGGGCCCTCTGACGTTTACAGTTGCTGCTTCCACATGCTCACCTAGCGAAGCGTCCAAGTTATTCAAGTCTTTCGTGATGCAACCGGGCCCTCTGACGTTTACAGTTGCTGCTTCCACATGCTCACCTAGCGAAGCGTCCAAGTTATTCAAGTCTTTCGTGATGCAACCGGTCCCTCTGACGTTTACAGTTGCTGCTTCCACATGCTCACATAGCGAAGCGTCCAAGTTATTCAAGTCTTTCGTGATGCAACCGGTCCCTCTGACGTTTGCAGTCGCGGCTTCCACATGCTCACCTAGCGAAGCGTCCAAGTTATTCAAGTCTTTCGTGATGCAACCCGCTGGTAAGGTCTCATCGGCGGAGCTTTCCACAACAGGTACAGGAGATGTTTTGACTGAAGAATTCAAAATAGTTGCCTTAGGGCTTCCACGCAGGACTAGCTCTGAGCCCTGTGACTTTCTCCTCTTCTTCCTGACTTCCTCTTCATTCCCAGCTGCATACGATGCAAGGGCTAAAGCATCTTCACCATAGTGCACTCGCTTTCTACTGCGCAATCCTTTTCCTCCATTTGTCAGGTCGTCATCTTGTAAGCCGGTATACCTATCTTTGAGCATAGAGGACCAAAATTTTTTGACCGTCTCTCCATCCTCTTCAGGCATCTCTTCGTTCAAGCTTAGGGCCTCGTTTTCAAACATGCCATCTAAAATTTTCTTTATCACTTTGGCGTTTTCTTCCCTCGCTCTTACAATATCTTCAGGAATCTCGGCCATGTGTATTTTCTCTGATCCACGTCTCCTCTTGTAGGAATCATCCAGAGAAAGTAGCTCCTTTACTTTCCATTTCACGATTTGCTGACAATACCTCGCAGTCATGATTCTCAAACCACTCTGAAGTTCAAGCTTTCTTTGACGGGAGTACACAATAGCTGCTTCCTCAACAGTCAGAGGAGTATAAAGTCTGTAAACGTTAAGTTGCCCCTGCACTTTATAAATAACCTTTTCGAGGTATTGTAGATCATTAGCAGGATTCCAGTCACTATCATACACAATGACATCATCGGTCTCACGGAGTTGAAAGGAGACGCCTGTAGTGTTTTTCCTTAAGATAAAAACAAAACGTGTGGAATCTTCAGCGTTAAACCTTTGGATGGCTTGATTCTTGTTTGACTCAGAGCCTTTAAAAACGCACTCATAAGAATCGGCACCAAAGAGCTGCCTCATATAGTCATCAAAATAGCAGCACAGCACATCAGTCTGCATCAGCCCACGTCGAGTTTCAGAAATCTCAATGTCGAGCACGTAAGCCTCCCACAGGTGATATTTCAAGCCGACAAAGATAAATGTATAGTTCATAGACTTGACGGTTCTCTATCTCAAGTAAAATCTTTAGAAATTAAAGCTAAGATCAAGCCAAGAAAGCAAGAATTTGTTTTTTTAGTACTCAAAACCGCTCACCCAGAGCGCGGGGTCCATGATCTTCAGGACAAAATAATAAGCTTAACAACAAACAATATAATACTAAAAAAAATCAATGACCACATCAGCTTTCTGTACTGAGACGAGATTGATGTAGTGAGACAGATACGAGGAGAGAAATTATCTATGAAGATAGCAGATTTGGTTATCCTGTAAACCTTCACAAGATTTTCTTTTTTAAACTTAGATAACTGGGTGCTTCATGTCGTGATGGATGACACCTCAAAATGTTGAAAATGGTCCCAGTAAAAAATTACATTTCAAACTAGAAAACCTCACCATAACAAGTTTCGACATACGAGTATAACAGCGGAATCAGTTGCCAGAATTCAAAATAGGGCTAATAATATAGAAGAGTCATGATCGATATATATACTGAGAATAGTGACCATGTGTTGTCTGTGACATTAGTAATGCTATTCTATTTCAAAATTGCAACGACTGGTTGAACATGCCGAATGAGTGGAAAAGAGATAGGAACCTGACAGAGTAGAAGTACGCGCCGGCCTTTTACGTGTAAATGTGAGACCATCCGTTGCAACGTCTCAAACTTCCCGCACAACTGAATCCCGGCATCTACAAGACTTTGTTCCGGTTTGAGATTGAGAAGCAGATTTTCTTGCAGAGTTGGATCAACGAGAAATGGATGGTTGCACACCTGCAATTGTTGGAAAAAGCTTATGAGGTGTATGGAAATTCAGACCTAGTGAACTTCCCAGCTTTTGTACATGTACCACTAGAGTAAGGGGAAATTTTCAAGTGCTTATTGACAAAGAGTGACCATCTGTCACATCCGTGAGATCATAGCACATACAGAATTTGTAACTTTACAACCGTAAAAGAAACAGAGTGGACCTCCACGTGACCTTCAGAACGGAAGAGGAAGCAAAATGCGGAAGAGTTTCAAGATAAAACTGGACCAAAATATAAAGAAAGCCAAAGATTAAACCTGATATTTTCAAGGGGTGGTTAGCTCAACAGTTGTGACCCATAAGAGTATGACATAGTCAAGCTCTGTAACTCGGAGAAAAGTATTATTCAGATCATCTCTTGAACAGGATAAACAAAATTACTATAATATCATTTGAATCGTCTCACATTCCTAACAAGGTTAAAGAAAAGGTCCATCACCTCCACGATCAAAATCACGATCAAACGTAGTTGTGAAAGCCACACATATTAGACACAATACATACAAGAAAGCAGCAATCTGCTGTCTCGCTGAGAAAGTAAACAAAAGCTGGCAAGGAGTAAGAAAAATTAACTGTGAGGGTTACCATTAGGGTTCGGAAGTATACATGTATAATACATTGATTATACAAATTATACAGGTTATACATGTATAGTATAAGTACATTATACACTGTCCAAAAAAACTTTATTCCTGTTCATTTTCTTCTCCAGAAGCATCTACATCATGGTCCTTTGTTCCTTTGAAAAAAGGAACAATGAACTAATCCTATGTATGCTTCCTTATGATTTAGGCATTTAATCTCTGGATCTTCCTGCTGCCTACATAATTCTCCTCTCTCCGTTCTTGAGAGTCATCATGACTCAGTCATGCTCTAGGCATCTGGCTGTCTGGCTAGGAAAACCAACCTTCCCTGTTCGGAAGTATACATGTATAATACATTTCATTATACAAATTATACATGTATAAAGTGTGTAATTTATTATACATGTATAGGTATAGGGCAAACCCTAGTTACCATGAAAGAACAAGAAAGAGATCTGCTCGTTTAGACTCTTTTCATGCTCGATAGAAGTCCAGAGGCTGGAAACAGCTAGGCAGAATATCTATATCGTGGCATTCTTCTCGCATTGTCGTCTGCAAACTCAATCCATGAACGAATGACGCATCTACTCTGTAAGTAAAATTGTGATGTATGGAAAATACGAAAGTATGTTAAGAACCGCCATCGTTTCCTCTTCCCAGAACCCAAGTCTTTCTCCGGAAGGAGATGTTAGAGATACAGCGTATGGAACCTACCTTCACTACGATGAGAGGTTGTTGCGAACAGCACGTCTCGGGATTTATAGTCAGGCAAATGTACTCGGGCTACTAGCCATCATAAAGACTCCATCCAGATGCGGATCCCGGAAACCGTCACAACCAAGTGAATCGATTGATGGCTTTCCCGTTTACTGTCCCTTTCCCTCCATGTGACAAGTTGCTGGCCTTTTGCATGACACAGCGACTGAACCTCTAAATACGGAGCCTTTTCGCTCTGTATTCGTTCACGAGTTCTTTTCAGTTGTATCAAATCCGATTTTCTTCCGCTTTAATACAATGAAATCACCTACAAAGAATGTTCTGAGCCACTGCAAGTCACTTTCTTCTGCACTGTTTTCTCAGTTGCGATCAACCACCACTCTTCGAAAAGCTACTGGTGAGCTTAGCAACGGAGTGTCCTAATTTTGACATATTCCCATGAAAACTTCAACATATAGAATTCCGTCCAAAATAGAATTTGGTGGATTCTTATACAAATCGCGTATGTGTAATGAAACCAGCTGCTTAAAGTCTATGTGGTCATAATGCCACAATTGTTTTCACTTCGCTTTATATGTGATCCGTTTTATATGGTCAGACTAGCCTGAATATCGTCATTGAATATAGACAAGATTCAAAATATCGGTGATAGCTAGAAATCTCCCAGTTCAATGTCAAAAGCAATAAGCTGTTCGATGGTGAAGACGGTGCATTCTTCCGTGATAAATATTCAAGCTATACCTGGCACACTTTCATGGAGGCATGGATACGAAAGGGAAAAAAACGAAAGAAAACAGCAAGGATGCTATTCAAAATTTCCAGCTTCTTCCTAGTAGCCAAGGTCCTCGTCCGCCCTGGCCACCTTGTGACGATCAATCACAGTTGTTAACCAAACGAAGCAAAAACGGCAATGGATTGGCTTAGGTTAGCAGATACTAGTAAGTTGGAACAACGGCTGTAAATGCAGAGGGGCACCCAGACCCAGCACGTGTTTTGTCTACTGAACTTGATAGAGATGTCATGACCATGATAGTCACTTATTCCGTAAGGAATGACAGACTGTACCAAAAAGTTCAAAGAAAAGATGAATATCAATGCTCGTACCACTCTAGTCGTCTTCAGAGTTATGAATGTGGTTGGTCCGGTGCTGCACACCACAGAAGGGTGGAGCGGATTTGAAAGTGCTGGTAACTGACATTCCTAAAACGTCAAAAGAGTTACAGAGTGAAGAGAAATTAACTTACCATACGGTCACAATATTCACGATATCTACTGCAGAGAAGAGAGAAGAAAGAGATGGCAAATTCATCATCACACTGAGAAAAGATAAGACACTAAATGCCTTTTGATATTACAGTTTTGCCATCTAGAAAGGGACCGCCTATATAAAGATGGTGATGGTAAATGAATCGGATTCCAGGCGCTAAAAAGTACAGTTACAGTGAAAGGTTTGAGAAACACGGACATAGAACCACATCAACACTAGTTAAGAAAAATGGATGAATTTGTTCTATGGCGTGTTAGGGACTAGTTAAGAAGAATTACGCCTGGTAGACGCAGTCATAGCTTCATCAACCCGTACAGTCAATATAATCGCTATTAGCAAGAAAACACTACTATACTCCAATATTGATGTAAGAAAATAGACAGGATTCGCCTAGACATGATAGAGGTAAATCCTCTTGTGCCCCACGGCGGCATTTCTACAACTAACGGCTCAAGATATGTTGAAAATTTAAATGCTTTTGAATATTTTGCTTACTACAGACGAGAACACGAACAAGGGGTAAGGTCAACAACTCGAGAGGAGTCTCGAGTTGTGTCCAGACTAATCTCTTCACTTTCAAGTAGTCCTCTTTTTTCCCATACTATTTGGAAAGGTTCAATGTTAATCCTAGGCCAACTATAACATTATTATTTGGGGTTCAACATTGTCCGTTAAAAAATGTTCGCGACCGGATGAGACTTCTTTGTATTACTGAGCCTTCTTTCTGTAATGCAAAAAGGAAATCCCACTGGCAAATAAATCATATTTCATCTAGTTTTTGGATTATAAAATGCAGCAATATGAGATTTGGACTAGAGCTAAAGAACGACTTTTTCCTTCTTCCTTAAGCCCAGTTAAGTTGGACGGCTTGTTGACTAGCGGAAAAAGTTTCTCTCATGGTTTTGAAAGCATCTGGTCCAAAATGATCATTACAAAAGAACGTCAGAAGAACTCTATGCACAAAAAAGGAATTGGATGCCAAAGCGGATAACTTCCGTACGTTGGCACAAGCGAAAGATCTGTACTAAAAATGTGCACTGTGTAGCCACCCCGAAGTAAGGGTTTAGGGTTTCAAATAGTTTTGTCTGCGAGAGGCGGAGATCGCGACGAGAGCAGCTTCGTACTTGACGAAAGGGAAAGATTGCTGCTACTGATTGAATGCAAAAGACTCACACGTACAGATGGCTCTACAAGTATGAAGTAACAACATAGAAAATGTCGGGATTGCTACAGTTGGTAGTCATAGTGCCATTAAAACCACATTAAGGCGTATCCTCCAATCAGGTTATGAAGTAAACTGTCCCTTTAGGACGCATGTCTAAACGTGGGTCTTCTAGGGTTCACGAATAATTCGAGGTCGTCGATGGACGATATCCGGTCAAAATCATCCAGGAAAAGTTAGTAAATCATTCCACTCCCTTTGCATCCTCCCAACTCATCTTCTTCTACTACTCAAGGATCTCCTTATACGAGCACCGTCTAGAAAGGGCACGGAATCCACAGGTTGCAGGCTAGACAGGCGCTTACTAATCAGTACAAAATCTTCAAAGACTTCGGGCAGAAGAGCAGCTCTAGAGCCAATTCAGATGAGACAAGGAAGTTATTGGTTGGAAGAAATTGAGATATAAATTTGCCACCTCTGCCCCATCTTGATGACTTTCTCGTGGTGTCAACGGTGGAGCTATCATCCTCTTTCACTTAAATGATCCACACTGGTGTAGAAATTTGCTGCTCTCGTGCAAAGACCTGGAAGCAGCAAGAACATGCACTCGAGTGGTCGAATGCCTGATATGGTTGCTCAACTTAAGTGACGATACGTACTAACGCGGCCAATTCGCGTAAGCTTTCCTCCGCGGTGAAACTTGAATTTGACCCAACACCTTGTTCGGAGATTATCCCTCCTATCTACCATATTAAAACGGATTACAACAGTAACGGATTCAAACGCCAATCTCTATCATGTTCACACAGTCTCCCACCGTACACAGTAAGTCATATTTAACATTCGTACTGGCTTGGTTTCCAAAGCTGAGACCAGCACAGCTATACATCTGATCGCACACTGAGAAGCTTGTGAACTTGTCAAACGAAGACGAGTGCTGCTTTTGTTGTTGTTCCCCATTGCATCGAGCACCTTCAAACGCAGAGGTGTCTTGGTCCAGAATGTGTTAGAAATTTATGACCTTGCATGCTCATAACACATGTACAGCCGCTCACCATGGAGTACCCAGGTTCGGTCTCCTCCAGGAAAATCGAGGGGCTTGTCCCAGGATTCTAGAAACGTCAGCAACAGAAATGGTTAAGTGATCTTCAATAAGAATGAAAAGTACACAATTCTCTAGAATATTGGACGCAGACAACCAACCTGGTAATATCATACAAGGTCTACGAGTTGAAAGAAAAGGAAAAAGAAAAACAATAGTATATGCCTTTCAAGGCCTGTACACGGTAGGCCACGCACCCCAGCTGACCAGCTGAGAAAATAAGATCAGTGATTAAGAACACAAGAAGAGGGATGGATTGGAGGAGGGAAATTGAGGCCTATTTGGCATCGGTGTTATTTTTCATTTAAACCTTTATCATAAGTTCTGCAAGACACATGGTGGGAACTGCCAATATCGTATGATTTTCGGTTATCCACATAATGCAAAAAGTCAAAATCTTGTAAACAAGAACTATCAAACCTACTTTTGAAGAACATGCATTCAGCAGCAAAAAGCATTCCAAGTCGTTTCTACTGCAGTTTAACAGACTGCAACAACTGAAAAAAAAAAAAAACTTGTAGATGTTATCAGAAAGATACTGAGTGAAATGGTAGGAACTTCAAACTGACGATAAGTTTAAACCCTTTTACACTGACATGTAATTAGAAATAACGACAAGATGTATGAAATGACATTTCAACTTAAATTGTAGGAAAACACTACACAACATATACACTCTGATGTATATACATAGGTAGATGTTTCAGAAAAAGTAGAAATAAACAAGAAATAAACACAACTGAACTTGTATTTTCCCACACTCTAACAACCCCTCAGCCTGATTTTCTATATCTAACAAAGAAAAACGCAAACATAACAAAATGCTCGACATGCAAACAAATATTAAGAGAGAAACGTATACGACTTCCAAGGGAGACGGATTCAACTGTGATCGAAACCAGCAGCAGATCCCAAGTAGGATAATAAAACGAGGAGGTTAAGTAATAGCTACACTCACAATAGTAACGATGGGAAAAACGAAACACATTGTTTTAATGTACTATCAACACATCAGAAAACACCGGTCCATGCAGTTAACATTCGACGATGAACATGTCAGCACGAGGACAGCGGATTTTCGACATAACTGCATCCGTGTTACTACCGACTCAATATATGAACAGTTTCTCCAAATGTCTCATCCATAGATAATGCGCAAGAGAAACGCATAACCTGATTAGACTTCATAAAAATGGCCTACAAGGAACAATATAGGTGTATATATAAGCGTGTAACACCGCTCCACACCACACTAAACACACACATATTTCCATTGATGTCACATCCACGAGCAAGTAAGCAAAAATGAAATTTTGAGATAAAGGGAAGCACCACGTCTAAACGTATGCAGCAGAAGAACATAGAATTACGTTATGGAAGAACTTACATTTCTAAGGGTTGCGATAAGCCCATGTATAGAAGACGAAGTCTGATCAGAGCGCATACGGCCAAAGTACAGCAGGCTGTAATGTTTGGTCAATTCAGTGCAGTAAAGATGTACTTGAGTGGGTGTCATCTGCCCTGCGGCCCAATGCTCTTTGAACTCCAGGCGAATTGTTTCATCAGACCTGCTTTCTCCGACCATTTTCTCCCCAAGCTTGCCTTTCAAAAACGTAAGTTGAGTCTCCTCATCCCATTCCCCCAGCTGCTTTTGTAATTCTGACTCAAGACCGTGGTTCTCTGGCTCCAAATAGACCACAAACTGCTGCAATTCCCAAACAGAACACTGCGACAGAGAGACAATTCACAGGTTAGTTCAGATTTTTACATCAATCCTATTTTCAATTGGAGAAGGAAAAACTAGTCAAATTAGTCATTTCTAAGCACAACCCTTACAACCCTTGAGTCTTCATTCACAGGATTTGTCAAAAGCGTAAATGGCAATTGCATCGTCGCAGGGAGCGGGCCGATCAGCTCACAACCTTGGAAAAGTCATTCAGAAGAATTAATCGATGTGGTGCAATAAACTGCATATGGCGATACGACTTCGTTACCCTCGAACGGTGGCCTTCATCCAAGACAACTGCTTCCCATTCAAACTTCATCAAATGATCATGATCCTGTGATGCAAGTAACATGATGTTAAGATCAATGAGTTAAAATGATATGATTCAGAAACGTTCTTATTGTAAATTAGACAGATAGGAAAACCGACACGAAGTAACAGCAAACATCTTGAAATTTGATTTTTCTTGTACGATCTTAAGCTACATAGTGTGCAACGCAGTGCGGGAAGTAACTCACAATGTTGGCAACGTCGAAAGTTGTCAACACTATTTGGAATTTGATTGGTTTCTCAGATGGATTGAGCTCATGACGTTGAATCACGGATCTCCCGCTCGTACTTCCAGTATATACAACTGTGTATACGTGCTCAGCAGATCGAAGTAACTCTGATTCCCACATCTGACACCCATTCAACGGCACTATGACAAGTATCGGTCTGAACGATCCATACTCCTCTATCAAGGAGAGAAGAAAAGCTACAGCAGTTCTTGTTCTCTCCTGTTTCAACGCCCAATACATCAGATTAGAACACGTCCACAATATGAAGGTAAAATACCTACTGAAGCATATTAACACTAAAGAATATCATCCCGGTTTACTAGCATAGCTTACCAAATAGGTATAAGTTTAAATTTTCCAGCATTCGACCTAAGCTAGGAACTGTCCAAGTGTTCTTTACAATCAACATGAAGTAACTGATCACCATTTGGAAAAACACGTGATCAAAAGCAAGGGCTTAACAGTAAAGGAGAACCAAGAGCACAGACCCGGGATGTAACTTGTAAGCATACGCTATTTACACACCTGATCACTTTCATCCACCATCAACGTGTTATGATGGTGATACCAGCGTTCGCGTAGACCGTTTAGTTCTTCCAACTGGTGAGTACTCAATTTACACCCTTGGAACCAATCTGGCTGCTTGGCAAGAGGCTTGAAATCAGCCTCACGTAACCTCATAACCTGTGTGAGATGAGCCCATATAACAGGTCTTAGGAAACCCCGTGAATGGCGATATAACACTCACGAAAGAAGATTAAAAGGAAAGATCTGATCAAATTTTTTTTAAACTCTTCATCTAAAGTGCCCGTTGTGATAAGCAACATTAGCTGGATCCTTGCGTGCTGAATCAAATGCAACAGACCTCCTCAATACGAGTTGGATGCGACCGCCGCCTCGCACCTTCACACCATCTGTCATAATTGCTTTCTAGTCTTTTAGAAATTTCAACATCCAAAAGGCCTGACTGAGCTTGCTCCCATGAGCAATGCTCATAACCCAGATCTTGCCACTTGACAAACCACTCCAGGCCAGCATCCATGCCTAAAAAGCCTCTGCCTCTCCCTCCACCCGGACGACGAGGGGGTGCATTGAGCCTTCTTAAAAGAAACCGTTGAGGCACTTGCCAGGTTGACTGCCACTTGATGCGGCCCTTAATTATTGCAATACACCAAGACAATCAATGCACATTCAGAAAGATTGTTTAGAAGAAGAGTGTGAGTGGTGCGAATAACACAAAGCACTTGGGATGTTGAGCTCCTCCTCCAAAAGGAGGACCTTGAAATTCATTGTCATTGAAGACCAGATATATATGACACCACAAAGACAAAAGTACGAGACACTTTGAAGCCGAATAACGCTACCACCGATATAAGAATGGATGGACTATTTCTAATTGTGTAATAAAGCATCATTACTGGCACTAGAATCGCAATCGAACCCCAACGGTAAGTGCAAGGAAGATGAAGTGCACTCTGTACTCAGACCCTATAGATTAGAACGAAATGAAGATAACAATATACTGTATATACCTGATTCGGATTATCCGACTCCAGCCTTTTCTTAAAAGTCTCAAGCATTTTCGGAGCAGCCTTCTTGAGCTCGGTTTCGCAAACCCAAGCATTGTGTATATGAGAAAGGTTTTTATACTTAACAAAATACTGCTTGTCGCAACCTCCGCAGGGACCCTCTGCAGATTGGGACACCACAGCGGACGCTGCTTCGGTCGAGGGAACCACATCAGCCTTACGTTTCTCTAACTGTCTACGAGACTCAAGTTCCGACTGCTTCCGCCTGGTTAGTCGTTGAGGTATAGATGTACTTGAGCTTGGGGAGTCTTCCACCATCCCAGGTCCCTTATCCTGAGCTTTCATCGTGAGATATGAAACGTCCTCTACTTCGTGTAGCATCCCAGAGAGCTCCCCTAATACATGCCTATTCTGATCAAGTACGACACCAGGAGAACCATTGCACGAATGGCAAATGCAATCTCGAACTTCCCAAATACTTTCGACGGCTTTGAGACTCGCATTAACTCCAAACGAGAGACGCTTCTGGGTACAAGTAGGGCAGTACCACTTGCCCTCAGGAACCTCCTTCATATTTGGATCAGCACATTCCAGGTGGTATGTAACTTTACAACCGCTCGCATCACAGCACCTATCGAGAAGCAGCAGGAACTCAACAAACGTCAATGGCATAAAAAGAGCAAGCAGAAAGTGTCAACATGTCCATCAAGACACACTTTAGCTTCAATCCGAATTCCCTACCGGTTTCAGGATATGAGTACATTTCAAGTCAAAAAGTCTGAAAATAAACGATTTCCACGTTGACAGGAACGTTACTATATACGCTGCACGTACAAACGATAAATGAAACGAAAAGATCACGACTATACAATACAGTTAGGAACAAAATGAGCTTCTGAAAGTGATATGCGGAACGTTCTTTACAAAGCAGGATATTAAAACACAGAACAAGAAGAAAGTACACAAAGAAGTGGTACCGAATGAGCAGCATCGAATAATCGACACGGCAATCTTAGTTCAAATGTTTCACTGCATTTGAATACTATAATCAACATATGTACCCAGTCATTGTCATCTCAACCCGGCTGTTCAATTTGTCATTATATTTATACAGGATTCAAATTTCAGGAGCTTTGTTGGTCATGAGTACGCTTACAGTAGTATTCCTCCCAAAAGGCAGGCCTCACAGAAACTGTTGTGGTCATCAACCTCTGATGCTTCTTCAGAATGATCATCGTCAACATCTTCAATTGTCAGATCGCCCACAGCATGGGTGTCTGTAGTCTGGTCATGGAGTGCTACTCCTCCAGCCAAAGACCTGTAGACCTCCCGATCCTCGTCATTGTCGGCTGTTCGAACAACGTTTTGTTCGAGGATAGAGAATTCATCTGATTCTTCCTCTTCATTAAAAGCTGAATATCTATCATCGACGAAGGAGTTCTTGGTCCGGGATCTGATCCTGCTTGGAGCATCAATAACGGAGAACATATCCTATTTAAGAGATTGATACTCATACCGATATTCACGTTCAGGAAGAAGCATATTGGTCGTAATCCTCTCTAGTCTAATGTGGACAGACATCCACATGCAAATAGGTTTGGCAGCACACCAAATTACAAAGGGTCTGTACAGAATCATCACATTACCTAAAATCTGCTAAGAGGATTCCCTGGGCACTGTCAGACAGGTAAACTTCATACAGACCCAAGCCCAAAATTCACTTTCAGGATGCAAAGAATGACTCCAAATGGAGCTTCCCAGCAAAGCGATTGCTTTGGATCACGACGCTCCAAAACTTGAGTTCTCTGGTCTGGATTCTCTAAGACTCGAACCTACCAACCTTTGCAGCCATTCCGTAATGGTCATGGCTCAAATGGATCATACTTATCGGTCACAGTGCACAGTTCATACACGTCTCGTCTTGCTTCTAGACATATTGGTCAAAACAAAGGAGCTCGGGCATTTCTCTAAAGTTTTCAACTGTAGTGGTATTTTTGAAAGACTGCCACCAGGCGCTTCTCACTGGGACCAGGCAAAATTCAGATCTGGAGATCTTCATTTCTATTAATTCTTATTGTATAAAGATCACCTTCTTTCAAATGAGGTAGAGTGTCCACTTAGAACTAAGTTAGCAGTATGGAACAGCCAGTCCGACTCCAAAATGGTAGCCAGTGACCAACTACTTTCGAAGCAGTACATATAATTCGGGCTGTTTACTCAGTGGATGCCTTAATGTGCAAAGTGTCTGCACTGGATCGAGCAGAGGCTGAGGATAACTCGAACCCAAAAACTATGAAGAAAATGATAAGCCAAAAAGAAAGCAGATGGCAAGAGAGCCCGGAGAGTGCGAAGAAACGGGAGAACCATCGGATATAGCGGGAGAAACGATGTGCTGCACTCGTAACGGCATATATAGATACAATATGAAGTGCGATTAGTTTTTAAAAAAAATGTATATAATCGACGGCAGTGGCTTGACATGCAAGTGGGCCGGAACTATATATCGACTAAAAGAGAAGAGAGAAGGAGATCTGAAGAGTCGATTTGAAAAGTTGAAATAACCGTGCGTCTAAAGAATACAATATAAAAATCGGAAGGAAAACTCAGGTGCAGCAAAACGAGAATAATGACTTACAACAAGCTCCTCGCGTGTATGTGTAGGATGGATTGGAACATACCCGAAGCTGAGTAACCAGAATAAACATCAGCTCAGCATAAGACAGAGGCTAGAGTACTATTATCAGAGTAGCAAAGTGTAAATCTGGGGTCAATTATTCCCAGTCAAAAAGGCTGTTGCGCCTGCTAGATGTCAAGAAGTAACTACTCCAGAGAAACGATCCACTTGGGCCTTAATCACGCGTCTTCTAGATTTATGATGTTGTCTAGAATGTAGCTCTCGTCGACAACCGAGAGCACATGTTGATATTTTCCACCAAGAATTTGATCGCAGGGTTAAATAGACCTGGATATCAAGGTTTGACAGATAAAAGACAAAATGGGAAACTGCGCAGTCCATCAAACTGGTTGAATTCGCAAGAGTGCCAAGGATAGATACCCCTGGAATATTTTTTGACGAGCTGTACATGAGGTCCTCAAATTCAAGAACAGCGGGAACGTAGATATCGTCCACGCATCGTCGAACATTGATGAATCTAACGACGAGATTCCAGGACCAAGCGTAACAGGTCAACGAAGTCGAGTTCGTACTTGTCATCCTCCATTTTTGAGACCTGCAAGGTCGATGTTCGTGTACAAGTTGTAAAGCCGTAGCCTTGGAGCGGAGGGCAGGCTCCAGAGTACTGGCGACTACGGTTTATACTCTATGTCTCTCATGTCGTTTAGTGTGATCATCAGTATTTGTCCAGCATAACCTAAAGTTATTTGACACCGAGTCCTGGCTTAGCATTGTAAATATCACAACACTGGGTAGAGAGAGAAGTAGGATGAGATCACTTTGCCAACATGCACAAAAATGATATCGGGGGTCCATCGGTTTCTGCACTAATCTTAAATGAACTGAGTGCTAATCTAATTATGTACTATCTCATCTATTCCTTGTACCTTTTACTTATGTTTTTGAAGCACTTAATAATGTCGCCTGTGATCTTTATGTAGTGAAGGATACTTCCTGTATTCAAAAGACACAGCTTTTCTTCGAAACGATGGTGCGACTTCATTGCCTAAAGCTCTTCAAGCACTATATACCGTGGGCAAAACATCATGATAGTCGTTCTCCAGTCCAACTAGGACTCGAAGGACATTTTGAATGTCCATTTTGATATATTTAATAGCAAGATCGAGTACATGTATTCGATCTTGCTGTTACATACATAGTAAATGTATAGATCAAGTCCCAAAAACTATGTCTGACATAAAAAGGTGTGACAATACAATGAGGCACTACTGCGACCAGCAGATTGCAGATTAGATTTAAAGGATGGCACATGTGCGGCAAAAGCTGCAACCTACTTCACGAAATTTCAACTTGTCCAGTATGGGCAAGTTGCATGAACAAAAACAGCAACATTAGCATCAAGAATTCGTGCCACATACATGCGGCGGACAGAGAAGTGGGAAAGAATTGTTAACAGGAACCATCAAGGTACCCTGTAAAGTGTATGGAATCGTAGACCCTAATTATATAAGAGGAGTCCAGAGGCTGTGATGAACGTGTAACGTGAGAGAGCATCAACCCGATCCAACTCCAAGATCTCAAAAGTGCCCTTAACGAGTCTCTTGTATAAAAGCAAGTATTCACGCCTTAATTCTAAATTGAAGGTCACTGCAACTGGAATAAATTTCAGATGAGCTGGATGTGACTATTATGTGAGAAAAAAACACAAGCAGGTGATACGGCGAGCAGTATACACTGTATATCCCTCCTAGCTGGTAGCGATAGGTCACATCAACAAGTCAGGCTTTCGCAAAAAGCTCCTACCAAGACGTTAAAAACTTTCAGGAATTAGCTAGTTGAACTTCTTTCATTCGGAGTCTGACTAAAATATGTCGCTCTTCAACTCGCACTTTTACCTTCGAAATGTGGAATATCTGAGTGTTCAGAAGTCACAAGATATGCAACAGTTGATCAAATAGTAACTACAATTCAAGACACTAGTACCTTTCACTGAGCACATTTGACAAACTCATGTCGCCATCTCCCTCAACCGAAGTTGCCGCACTGCCTTCCCTCCTCGCATCAAGTTGATCATTTGACTTGTCCGTTGCTACCTCCGCTTCAGGTCCTTGACCAGTTCCTGGTAGTGACTGCTGACTTCGGGTTCTTGTATCACGGATGATGTCCAAACAAGACTCTCCACCGAGCCCAGTTGGCTTTGCCAGACCTTCACTAGGAGGCCGAAGCAACCTGCAGACGAATACCTGTTAAATTCGTCGACAGCTGATCAACACAGCAACTCTACTCCACTGAAAGCTAATGATTAGTGACGATGAAGTATCCATTTGGATTTAGTCCTGACAACTGTAAAGGATGAAAGAAAATGTGATCAACAAGATAGTTTAGCAGAGCCCCGGATTATCTCCTGTGGAATACGATTAAATCTAAAGTACTGTAAACAGAAAAAGAAACCAAAGGAAAAAAAGGTTATTGACGGATATCTGCTAGAAGGGTATTATACCTCGCAGCAGATATTAGGACCGGAGATAACGTCGTATAGACTGTTCACATAAAAGTTTGAGTATTCTATGTTGCATCTGTATTTATATACAAAAAATACTATATCCTCGTAGAACTACTCTTGATGTATCCACAATTTGAAAAAGAAAGATCATCAATGGGCTTGTTTTGATACCCCTTATGGCGGACACCAGCAAAAGAGATCACGCTCAATTCAACCCGGACGTATAAGCGATAAAATGTCCATTCTAAATAAGGGCCTTCGCAGATAAAAAATTTCGACCGAAGGACAGTTTCATGTAGCTAAGGAGACTGAAAGGTGCCGGTATACAGAAAAGATCCTGTGGAATAAAGTGTAAAAACTAAAACCCTTGAGCTTGTTGTAACACAGGCCCCAATTAATTTACAAAACAAAACCTGGAAAGAGAAAGTGAATAGGCGGAAGGTACAGGAGGCGTTTAAGCAGTCATGATATACAAATGAGGAAACAAAATGAAAAAGATAATACAAACAGAAAACCCCACAGTGGATGTGGAGGGCGTTTCTTATTCACAAAAACCACACGATACATCAACCGACAAGTTTCAACACCAGTCATGGATAAGCTCATTTCTGTACAGCATTGCTTCTAAACCGTATAATGATTCACAAATGCTAAAACAGTTTGAATCACGGGGATACAAACCAGGAGAATAAATCACAGCTTTGGCCACAATCATACCTCACATAACCTCTAACCCGTTTCTATTATGTTTTTCAAACCGATGAGAATCTACGTACGTGGTATCAAGGACGCAAAAAAATCATGTTTGACAAAAGAGTGACTTGATATGCACGTACAGTTTGAGCGTAAGAATGATAGGATCGAATCACCATATTGTGCATTTTCGATATACCAATGGAGCTATTCTATTGTCTATGACTTTCCCATAAACTGAGTGACCACAAAAACGAGCTCAGCTGAGGTACCCTTTAACTTCACTGGACTAACAAGTTAACATAAGCATATTTTTTCACAATTATCTATATGGTTCTAAAAATACTTCTTCAGAGGGATTCAGCCAATCAATCTTTCAATATCAACAGCTTTAAAATAATGTTATGGGCAAAGATGGAACCACCATAAACTCCGAGAGCCATGTGAGTGGATACCTTGATTCTCTATCTTCAACACTATCTTCCGAGACCTGCACAAACCAGAACGACGATAAAAAAACACCTCATAAATAATGGACCAATTTTCAAGAGTCCAAGTTTATATACAATGTTCTCTACGTCTTCAACAACACACTTTAAGGTCCACGCTATTTAGTTACAGACAGCTCTAGGTCAACGCGACTCCCAGCTTCATAACTGACTGTTAAGTCTGTGGTCTCTAGCTATAAAATTTACCCTGAGAGAGAATATAAATACTGTAAGTACGAATCTGTACAACATGAAAAGTAGCAAATAACCGTGCTCAACACCAGTTCTACACTGGTCACCGATCGGGACGAAAAGAGCTATATCTAAAGAGCTCTAAAATTGTTAAGAAAGAGAACAAGAGCCCTTCTAGGATACGCAGTAGAAACTATTCAAGTGGAAAAGATTAACGTATCTCAAATGAAAAACAAATTGAAGTGAATGGTTTATTGTCAGTGTGTCAGTCCAAACTTTATGAGACGATCAGGTTGCCATGTTCTGTAAAAAAGGAGAACACATTTACAAATTCATTCGAGTAGTGTCCGTGTTTCCTCTTCCTGTGCAGATGCATTTATAGAGAAGACATGACGAAAAACCGAGTTTTACGAAACATCAGGAGTCGAACTCATCAAATTGAAAGTGTAGACCTTGTAGCATCAAATTCCTACAAGTGTACGTTGCACTAACCGATCGGAAACGGCTAGCCTTCAGCTCACGTGGGTCTGCCTGTTAGTTTTTTTCCTACTATCTTTTTCCCTGGCAGCCACCAGCAAGCTAGGCGCCTGCTTTATAATCCGATAAAACTAGTGAACAGACTAGAACAGTGAAAGACCCTTCGTTGGAAATAAAGAAGAAAGCAGTTTAGTTGACCCCAAGAGATCATGGGGTATCGGTGTTCCTCATCATATTCGTAGATATCCTTAGTTTCCTCCGTGCTGCATAGGCTTCGAAGTGGCGGGAGATATGCCGTAATATTGATCACCTTACACATTTTCACGCTACCAGCGTATCTCATTGCACACAAAAGCATGGGCTGCCTCCGCACAAGGAGCATAAGTACAAGACAAAATCGGTGGTAATTAGAATATATGTATAGATGGCGCGCGGAAGATGGGCTCGCTCAGTTTACAGCCTATGTGGTAAGCCCCATTCACATAACTGTGTCATAGCGAGACCAAGTACAGGTACTCAGAAAGAGCCTTGGGGGTGCGACTGACATTAAAATGATTGCAGTACACTGAAGTCTTAACTGAAGTTCCACAACGGTGACAGTGAATGTAAAATAGAACGTAAAGTAATAGGTGTGGACTCACGGGAATGAAACTGTAACCAAAAACATCGGTCCACTCCACGAGCAACAGAGAACTGTACCCATGCAAATAAGAAGCTGGAAGCAAAATGGTACAACGGACCCCAGGTCCATGTACAGCAAACACAAACCGAGCGCGCAAGAAAGTCGACATCTCAGTGTGGGACGACTTGCGTTGATCAAAAGACGTAGAATGATGGCAGTCGATCTGCAGCGTGAATCCTTGACTGAGAGAACCTAAAATAAACATCCAATCCCGGGCTACTTGTCTACACATCCATCAGGCTCGCCCATCTATCACAAACACCACTCCCAGAAACTCATCGCAGGTACCTGCAAACCTACGAGGCGAAGAAAAATACCAAGGGTGACTTCCGTAGCCTAAAGCGAATGTTGTTAGAATGCAGATCCCTTCAAGAGGTGCGATCCGTGTTCCTCTCGCAGCTTTTGGTCCTAGCCGGATTGGGTTTAAGTACCCAATCCGGCTAAACCCAATCCGGTACTTAAACCCAATCCGGGACACCTGTGTTTCATCCATCAATCAAGCTTCAATCCTTCTTCAACTGTGACTGATCTCTCACCCTCAATTGCTCATCTAATCTTACAAATGTGAACGTTCCTCGACTACAAACTCCTGAAACTCAACATCATATACCCTTCCACTGCAGAACTGTATGTGAAGTGCTCGTATCCTTCTATGAAATAAATCCGTCCCACGTCACCAGCCGAAGAAATGTGAACTGTGCTGTAAGCTCCTTTCTTCAATGTCCACTTCTACAATCGTTTACTTCCCCGTGTATCAGAAATTTGCCAGGTTTCGGTTCTTCTCATGAAAACTGTATTCTTTCCATCAATTTGGTCAGGTGGAACGTGGTTCAGGTATGGTTTCTTTGGCATGTCTCGATCTGATAAATAGAGGACAGGGCGATGCTAACTAGTGGCCAAGAACACCAGGTCACTCAGTTATCTCTGCGTACCGCTTGAAATAAGAGGTACGTAGAGATAACCGAACGAACCAAGTGCTAGTGTGGATCCTGTCAATGCTAAATGGGAATCCACCACTCCCAGAAACTCATCGCAGGCGGCGGTACCAATGGTGGCTTCCGGAGCTCAACGCGAACGTGAACGTTCCTCGACTACAAACTCCTGAAACTCAACATTATATAGCCTTCCACTGCAAAGGTTGTTTATCTCTACGTACGGCTTGAAATTCGCGGTACACAGAGATAACCGAGTGAATGAAGAGCTAGTGTAGTGTCCGTACAAAATGGGAATCAAGAGACTATAATTAGCGAAGAAAATGATCAATTGCATCAACTAGCTCTCGCCATTTCCAAGACCTCATCAAGCCCCTAAGGCACTAGTGTCAATGAGCATGAGAATTACGCTCAGGTTCTAACTAGAAGAATCCCGTGAGATTTCGGTTGAGCTGATGAAGATCCATGTCTCCGAGGAAAACCCATATCTCCGTTGAAAAGCACATGGAAATGCGATTCCCTATATTAAAAGACCTTGGCTTCCGTCACGATTGCTGCTCATCCAAGAAGATGAGTAACTTAGGGATTCCTCATTAACTCTATCACGACATCTGCAAGCGCAAGTGGAAGCGTAACTTGGTCCTCTGGATCCAAATTTTTATCCGTATTCACTCATACCAACAAGCGTAACTTGGAGCTCTCGAACCAAAGTGAATCCGTAATCACTCATACCAACTCTCTGTATGTGAGGTATTCCCGTTCACGCGCCATAAAAAAGGCATCACATCTCTGATGTCATTGTGCGTACCTATCCTCTGGATCCCATACTGGAATGAGTCAAGTGGATCCGTTCTGGATCTAGAGTAGTACCACAGTCACACGTGAGCAATGAGCAATGAAGAAGTGTAGAGAGGTGGACCAAACCCAAACAAAAACTCATTGCTGTTATAAAAGTAAGTGGTGAGAAAATTTAGAAACGGATCAATTCTAAAATGGTTGGAATAGATCGAGACACCGAACCCAGAGAGCGAACGTTTGAGGCAAAGAGCAAGCGGAAACATGCAGTACAAAAGTATCATTTTAGACATACTTTACAGTAAATATTGTGTACAACAGTCTACATGAAATACACAAGGAGATTGACAATGCAAGCGGGACGTAATAGTGTATGGAAACAAGCGAGGGAAAAGGCAGTAGGTAAAACGAAGTGAGTGAGGAAGAAGTGAGATGAAAGACGGAAATAGAAGGTAGAGGGCAAAAAGAGTGGACGTTCTTGAAATGGCACGAGTCCATCCACAATTACTCAAGACCATTAGAATCTAGGAGACCAGATCATTAATTGCAAAATGCTCCGTCAAGGAGGTGTATTCTTATGACTAGTAAAGTTGTAACTCAGGTTAGAGAATCGTTTAAGTGTGAAGAAACTCTGAATTTCCAGGCTTGAAGTTACCTGGCAAGTTAAAGAAAGTCTGAATTGAGAACGGTTTAGCAAATACTCATAAGATCTGAAACGTCTGTCAAAAAGAGAAGGGCTGTGGTTATTACACTTGATTTGTTATCACTACCCTTAAACTTGGTACACCTACTTCTGACTCAAAATTAAATGATTGTGATCACTTCGTATCATGATGTACGAGGCCACAAACTTTGAGTTGTTGGGTCAAGCTCCATTTAACAGTAAAATCGAGCACAACTATTCCATAAACGATAACGAGAGCAGGGAAAGTGAATAAGTATAAGAGTTTCACTAGGCAGATAAGAATGCTTGTAAGAAATGCGCGAAGAAGAATATACATGATCAGACCATGGATTAGATTTGACTTGCATCGGACCTGGCATACTGGGCGGTCTTTTGTCTTGTCAGATTGATACAATGCAGGAGCACTAATTTTTGTTCTCTCAATAGAGTTTCTAGTCATCGGCTTCGAAATATCACGGTCTTCCTTCTCTTCGTTGCGTCCCACGTCCATATTTTCGGCGACCTTAGCTTCTTCACTCACCCCAATCAGCTGGTTACGGTCATCTTCAGTAGGACCCGAACCCCGCTTCTCCTTCCTGCTGTTGTCATTTTCTTCAATCCCATTGGGATGGTCTACCGCTTCGATACCGAATATGCCAGTCTTCTTCTTCTTCTTCTTCTTCCTTGAAGCCCTAGTGCTCTCACCGTCTAAACCTCCGTCCCTGCTGTTGTCATTTTTTTCAAGTGTTTTCTGAGTTTCTTCTAACAAATTCCTGTCATCAATCAAAGCCATCCCATCGGGATGGTCTACCGCTTCGATACCGAATATGCCAGTCTTCTTCTTCTTCTTCTTCCTTGAAGCCCTAGTGCTCTCACCGTCTAAACCTCCATCAATGCTATTGTCATTCTCTTCGGGTATTTTCTGAGTTTCTTCGGACAAATTCCTGTCATCAATCAAAGCCATCTCATTGGGATGGTCTACCGCTTCGATACCGAGTATGCCAGTCTTCTTCTTCTTCTTCTTCTTCTTCCTTGAAGCCCTAGTGCTCTCACCGTCTAAACCTCCATCCCTACTGATGTCATCAATGACTTGTGAGCCTGCACCTGCTTGTCCACCTACTCCATACTTCTCAGAGGCCATTGTTTTGTCACCAGCCTGGTGACTTTCTCCCGCTAAATGCGCAAGTGAGTGAACAATCGCCCTGCTTTCATCCTCGTCAACTGATGCTTGTTGCCCTGCGACTGTGTCCTTATCAGCCTTCTTGGTAGAAGCTACAGACTTCTCAACTTTGCCGTCAATGGACGAGCCTCTACATTTTGTTCTTGGAATACTTAACTCCTCGGACTGCAAAAGAGGAACCAACGTCGAATCATCTTCTCGGGGGCAGTCCTTTCCCGTGTCCACACCAGGATTCTTACTTCCTGCTTTCGAGACACAGAAAACTTCAGCGGGAACACTTAGGGAAGGCTTTGAGGGAGAAATTTCTCGCAGTTTCTCTGCACTTCTGGTCGTTCTCCTCTCAGATAACTTCTCGGCAGTTTCAAGGTCTGCATCTTTGTTTTCTGTGAGTTTCATAGTTACTGTTAATTTGTCCAACTTCTTAGCCGTATCTTTACCTTTACGGGGTGTTGATGACATATCCGACTCCTTGCTTGCATGATTGTCTAAATGTGCAGAAGAGATCACTTCTGTCTCAATATTGACGGGTACTCTATGATCAGATCTCTTCGCTTTCTTTTTGAAATGGAGCACTTTCTCTGAGTTTGAAGTTTCCTCAACTCCCGAAGCTGCTGTCACGACTTCATTGTCCACAAGCAACCGTCCGACTGCGTCTGTTTCTTTGGGCAAAATTCTACTGGCCGTTCGAAGTCGCCTCCCAACGTTACCCTGAATAATTATCTCTCTCATTAATCCATCATCTCGTGAACGTGACTCTGGTCTCTCTCTTAACGTAAGCTTCCTGTCTAAAGCTCTCTGAGCTTGCTCCAGTTCTCGGTATCTCCGTTTCCTACTCTCTTCATCGTCATATTCAGTAGTCTCCTTGCTGTCCCTCCCTTTCTTCTTCTTTGTCTCTTTCGGATAGTCTCGCTGCTCCTTGTCAGTTATGTCAACTGTAGCTCCATTCTTGACTGGGCTTTGCTTCACTAAGTGTCGCTTCTTCCCTGTGTCCGGTGCTTTTGCACGTACACCTTCTCCGTCGTCGAGATCTAGGAGCACAAAATTAATACTCAAGGAATCAGAAACTGCAAAATACTTGAAAGCACCTGTTGGTCAGAGACGATACCCTCCTATTGATTTCAATATTCAAGACGGGGCGCTGTCTGACGATGTCCGAACCGATTCTCTGAGTAGGCTCAGGCTCGATCAAACCCGATTCAGACCAGAAAAAAATCACGAATGTAAACTCTGGGATCAATTCCCACTTTATTATCTGAGTTCGAAGAGAACGTGATTATAGAGACAGAAACCGGGAAGAGGATACCAGGAAGAATGTGGAGAGGTGAGAGTTTAAGGCCATAAACACAATCAATACCTGTCTCCGATGTTTTGACCTGTGTCATGTTCTTACCTTTTGAACCCTTCCTAGAACGTGGGAACTGTCTGCACTAGGCGGGCTTGAAGCAGTCAGAAAAAATAGATCCTTATATAGTGTTTCCCCCCTCTTGAAACGAGCAGTGAGACGTGTATTGTTAATTTCTGTCTTCAGAAGGGCTGAGGATGGCTAAGCCAAGTCATTGCACATACTGCAAATAACAATCACAAACTGCTGTTCCTTATGAAGGAGGAAACGATAGCCATCCCAGTATAGTTGATTTCGAATTTCTAGAGGTCTTGTGTGATGGTCATTGTGGGAGGACTTCCCCTGTAATGTGGTATATGGACTAAAAACAACAGGTACACAAGCCTTTCCCATGTACATCGACCGGGCTTTGCTGGAAGGTTTTCAATTTGGGTAAGTCGTTTGAAATAGTAACCCCAGGGTAAGACCTTTACTGTGCTGAATGGGAACTTACGAATCGAAAGGAGGTGGTGGTTAACTGAAAACCTAAAAGACTCCTGAGTTGAACTTTGATACGTAAGTCTCAAGGAAAAGGTGATAATATATAGATAGATGTGAATCGACTTAGAACTATTGATGGGCAAGTTGTCGATACATGTAACAATTTCCTCACGGACCTAAGAAAACGAAACATCTCAGAACCGAAAATAGATACTGGATTATAGGCAGAGCCTTCAGTGATACTACATTCGCGGCAGTATACTAGAAAGGGCACCATCATAACATGATGCGGCAGAGAGGAGGAAAGAGCCGAGGCACAGCCATCGCAACAGATGAACATTGTGCATACCAAAACTTCAGTAATTCATCTAATGTACCCGTATTCAGGACGTCCCAGCAATTGGCCACCAGGGTGCAAAACCTTCAAGCCATCACAAATGATGTGTTTGTCGTACTTGAGATTCAGTTGGCTCATGTCTCGGGCGAAGGTGAAGACTTATAGGCGTGTTCATTGTATACAAGAAGGGAGTGAAAACCTCATGAAGAGGACACATAAACGGACATGAAAATCCTAGCGACAGCTATTTGCCCTTTGCTCAGCACAGCAAACAGCTTTTGAGACGTCTTCCATGACCAGCTACCATTCCAACGGGACTGGATTCGTACCTTCCACTGCCGCTTCTTTCCTTCTGTCTCTCTTCTCATTCCCAAGGCTGCCTCTCATTGGAGATTCGCTGGGGGAAATTTGTGGTATGACTGCCATCTTAGCTCCAGCTTTGTTGGCGGTTAATTCCTTTCGAAATCTTCGTGCATCAAGGCTCTTAACCTTCATCTCGGAGACGCCTCCAGGTCCAGGACCCGGACCCGAGCTTTCAAAGTGAGGTGAGGTGGCAGGTTTATTCTGTTCAGGAACAAGATCCCTTGATTGGTGATGCCAGTTGTCTCCGAGCCGACTGCTTGGCCTCGCTCTCAATTTCCTTCTAGGAACAGAAAAAGCCTGCATAACATGGGCGTCAAAGTTCGTTTAAAATCAATCTGTACCTCCTTTCAAGTCTCCTCTACCTGGAAAAAGAGTCTAAATTCTCGACAGTGATGGTTGAGCATCCGTACCTTCTCATCGTCGGAGCTGTCTATTTTGACATCCTCATCTTCGTCGCTCCCCTGCCAGCCTGAAAGGATCAAATTTTCAGCCTGACTCCTCGATTCTGCTCTGGAAGCTCGATTGGGCCTTTGGGCCATCTTCTTGGCGGCATCGTTCTGGCATGATTCATACATATCACGGAGTCACACAATCAGCCTGTATGTTGCCAGATTGCGATTGCATGAGGATTCACTTGTGTAAGCGTTATTATTTGACGGGTGCCGACGTAGATAGTGGCATCGTCGCAGTTCACCATTAAAAAACAAGGCGGTCCAGACTCATAAACGTTGAGATATAAGTTTGAACGTGAGAATTGCATGTCCGTCGAGTCAGACGTTAGGAACACGTTATAACATGGCGTAGCGACAGGCCCATCCTTGGCGCTCCGCAGAAGATCATTCTGCACTTATATAAAGTACATCTAAGCTACATCCAACAAGAGAAGAGGTCCAAGCAGCTAGACAATCTGCAATTTCTTACTTGACGTGGAAATCAATCCATCGAAAAACCGTTCCCTGACTAAGCTTTTCAGACTCCTTCAATCGTTAAGGCTTCAATATGCTCTTTCGTGCTAATCTATGAACAGGAAAATTCTAAGATTTCATGCATCGTAGATGTTTCATGAGAAAACAAGTAAGGCCCTTGCGAACTCCAAAATCAGTCACGTCAAACTTTATATATCGTATGATGAAGAAAACGTGTACAAGGAAGTCTCCGTGTATTTCAATTTGAGAATTCCATCCCCTAACAGATAAGTCGAGTTTACACAGGCCTCGATGCGTCGTCTCACGAATAAAACATCCTCAGCTTGCTTCAATTTGACATTCAGTCCGAAGTCTCAAAACTGTCAGTGCACAGTCTGTTTCACAACTGATTACAAAACACACAACTGATACATGGACAGAAGGCAGGTACAGAGTTTGGAGCAAAGATTACTGACATTCTTTATAATCTTCATAATGTAGTCTTAACACAATTTTCATCCAGCTTCTCACATACTGTTTGTGTCAGGGTTCAAGAAGCACCACCAGTTGTCTCTCAAAGTTTCAATAGAAATAAGACACTCCTAGCTTCCTCACACAATCTCTACAAAGAAATTCTCTGGTTTATGCACATATCTTGGCACCTCAATATTTCACATGCTCAACGGAAGGTTACAACTGTAGCTCCCACACTCATTTCTGTGGGTAGACAGAAAAGCCAGTACCATGTGGGCTCAAAGAATTTATACCCATTCCACCACCAACTCTTGTTGTCAGATGCCAAAACAATATCACACTGCCTCCAATGCCCCTTGGTGAGCAACAGTGACCAGTGACCACTGGCAAGCATTCCATAATTCAGGCTACTGCCCTACAGCCCGCCTACTACATAGCTTGCTTTATACGGTGTACGGGTCCTCCTCCGCTTCGGGTCCCACCACCTGCAGGTTTTCGAGGCTGAGCGTGCGAGCCTTCACCATTCCAGGACCGTCAACAACATTTACACTGGTCCGAAACCCTTAAGCCCTCAAACGATTCTTTCCGAGCCTTGCTCTGACTTCAGCCTATGCCGTTACAACTGCAAAGTCGGAAGTTCTCTTGCACTCTCATTTCATGTGAACAATCGATGGTTAGTCGGTGGCCAAAGTTGCCGATTTTTTTCGCCGACATCTTCTCTGATCAAAGACGAGATGTCATAAACAGAATTCCTTCTGTTCCACTCATCACCTTCCAAACTCAGATTAGGTCTTCTCCAAGTTTGTTGCAACACAAAACTGCACGGTGTCTCGTCCAATCTATTCCATAACCACCTCTCAACTACGTATTCATGGCGCCCTTACAGTACACGAAAATCCACAATACTGAGCCCAGCATAAGCTCCAGAAATGCATCAGCATACTCCTGTACAGCTGTAAATGCACTGTAAAGAACCGTTGGCAAAGTAGGTGAATGCAGTCCAGCCCAGTAATCATGCCTACGGTAGGGCTGATGTAAGCGTCAAGTACACGCAGTATATCAAGACGGACGATCTTCATGAAGTTAAACGTCGGATTTCAAGTACCGCGGTAAACATCATGACGGGATAAGATAAGAAATTCATGAACTCATGTGACTCATATTTTTCTAAATGTGTCCATTTTTCGCCTTTTTACATCCCAGGAATGTGCCAGTTGTAAGGCTTAGGCTCTCTGACCACCGAAAAGTATATCGTATTCCAAGTTTAATTTGTCTGGAATAAGTCACGGGGTTTACCCTCATCGGCGGCTGGTAAAAAATAATCTCCAAATTAATAACGGACAACGTTGGCGTGACACAATCTGCAATTTCTACTGCCTTCACATTTTCACCTCGAAGGGTTAAAATTTTAGCGCCTTAATTACCAGAAATGCAGTACAGGTCCACCTATACTCTTGGTTTGTAACCAATTTTGGCAAAAGCACATCGGAAATTGCGAGGAACCTGACTTCTTTAGTTGTTCTATATTTAGTGGAGTGGAGAATATAAGCTCAGCCAGTCATCGTACGGATGACAACTGGCATTTAACGATAGCTTAGCTATCTCTAATATCATGTGAATCTTTGGATCTATGGACGATGACATCCGACTTGATCGTCCATCTGATAAATATCATGGACCCATAGTAAATGGGTTGAAGACTTCATCATGGTGAAAGCTAATCTAATGTCAAGTAAATAAAGTGAAGATATGAGAAGATCCAATCTCATGAAGAAACTAAAAGAAAAGTCTTCATCCGATATGATCACAGCAGTTAATGTGTACTACATCACTTAAGATATATGAGATTTTAAATTTCAATTATAGTATAGTAAAATGGTATCATATAAACTATTGTGATTATTTTTATAAATATAATTATATATATTACTTCAATAAGTTACACATTAGGTTAAGAATACGTTTTATCATGATCAATTATCCAAGTAAAATTTTTATAGATTTTTAAATCCCATCCAGAATATGTGAAAATTTCAATAAAGAGATGATATCTCAATGTAATATCACATGTGAATTTCATCCATTTTGAAGATCTGTTTGTCTTTAAAATTGTAATTCTAGCACAAGTGATACATTCTCAGAACGCGTTATATGTATTAATTTTATAGTGGTTTTTTTTTCTTTCAAAGGTTAGTGGCAGAGTGGATAAAGAACGACTGAAGATACAAATGTAAATAATTGCAGACGATGTTGATGTGATTACGATTTTTGGTTAAAAACTATTTGTGATACTCTAAACAACATCTTGTGAGCAATCGTCATCCTACTCCGAGCAATGACAATTGCTTAGCGTATGATGAATACACGCATCGAAAGAAAGAGTTCTATATGTGATAAGCTCATAGTCCTAGGCAATTTTTGTTGGTTGTATTTTGAGTGCTTAAAAGTTTACACTAGTTGGCAATCTTGCATTGTGATCAAGAATACTGTTTCTATCATGTTCGTTCTGATTTTGGATTTGCTATAAGAAAAGAAAAAAAGACAAGACACACAATTTGAAAACTAAAGCAAGATGCCAATCAGGTAGATTTGCACATGACATAATCTTGAGGCAGAAACCCAGTCTAAATATTTTATTTAACTTAAAAACCTGAGAAAATAGCAAACTTCTTAAAGAAAATAGTAAGAAATCTCTTTATATCTATAAAAGTCATAAAACTTTATCTAAAACACAACAAAATAGTCGGCACAAAATGCAATATCTGAATCAATATCGGCTATTACAGTTATAAACGGCCACATGAATGAATCAAACAATCTTAAAGACAGATTGCTCTTAGATATATTGAGTAATAATATGTCGGTTGTTAGGTGAAAATATGATACTTCATGTGATCATGATATAAGATCCAAAGAAAAACAGAATCCTGAGAATTTTTTTCACCTTCAATTTATTTTGAACCCAAATCCAATACATTCACATTAAAAAATGGTTCAACAAGTATCAAGCTCCATCCATCAACAACATGTAAAATAGCAACATTCAACATTACTGCATTATCAAAAACAATAGCATTGATCAAAAAATGATATTGATAACAATATCAGAATCTTTTTTGAATATCTGTTATTATCAGTTATATATTTGAAAAAAAAATTAACCCTGAATTATATAATTTCAAAGGTTTCAATTGTATATTTCTGTTTTAAGTAAATTATAACAGTCAAGATAAATCCAAGGTTCAAAATTTTGATTCTAGTATAAAAATCTAAAAAAAAATGTTAATTTTTATTTCTCAAATAATTCAATTCTAAAATAAATAAAGCGTAAATTATGTTTTGAGTAAATCAAAGATTTTATTTATTCAGGTTATTCAGTTATCTATTTAAAATACAAATAAAAAATCAAACTCACAAAAGCTCAAAGTGACATATTTGAGGAATTTCTTAGTAAATGTCATGTTTGTACAGAAACCAAAATGATGAACCAAGAATCATGAAAATTTGTTGTTTTATAATTGTTTCAGTCATAAAATTAATCAACAAATTGACCATGATTATCACAGTCACAATCAAGGTTATGTTCACATATTTGTTTAAACAAATTTATCTTTGTATGTGCTTTTTTAGTGCTTGACGTTAGTATGTATTGTGTTACTTGAAAATAAAATTAATATTAGCTATTTTCTTAATGCTTGGATTTTTTATTACTAATTTCCATGACTAGTTAAAGTCAAGCTTGGATGATAAGGCCTTATATAATTTGATTTTTCCTTTACAGACAAGTATACTTCTTATGATCTACGAGTTTATACTTATAATTTAGACCAAGATTGAATGTAACTCCATCTTAGGGTATACTTTCAAGTGCAGCTTATAACTCAAGTTGGAATACTAAAGTTTTGACTTGATCATTAACATAATATACTACCATCTAAAACTGTATATAAGCATTAGAAGATGGGAATTGAGCAAACTAGCTTTTAGTACAAGAAGAAGAAGAAGAAGAATTGAAAAGATGGAGATTGCCACATTAAATTCCTTCAAGATCTGCTTGAATTGCTTTAGAAGCAATAAACAAGCTTACAAAGGACATTAAGAAAATCAAAGACAATCTAGTAGCTTGTTTGAACTAAGTGGAAGACAAGTTCAAAGCTCGATCCATAAGAGAGTACAAAATTGAAAATTGCTGACTCTAGTAAATAAGTTAAGGATTGTTGTGTGTTTGATCTATGCAAGCTCCATAAAAGAAGCAATAATGATTTAGCTAGAAATGACTTAAACGCTAGCTGATGATAATTTGTGCTGATAGGACCAATTGCATTGATATGATATCTAGTGACAGATTTTTGCTACATATAATTGATCTTTTTGAAAATCCTATACTAAAATTGGACTATGTGATCTCTAGGCTGAATTTCATTAAGGTTTACTTTAGATAATATTTTGATAATCCATTATAATTTCATAAGATTGGAAATTTTCAAGACAATTCAGCAGACAATTATTTCAATTGCCAAAGCCCAGCACACTATGTCTTCAACTGTCTAAAGGCTAGAAGGCAAGGTAAAGATGCTTCTACTCCTCTGTATAATGTTTGCAAGAAGGATTATATACAGTATTAAAATGTTACTATGTGCTGGCTGCTAAGTCACAAGTGCAACAAGAAGTTAACTTTGTTATCTCTAAAATTGGTGTCAAAGAAACTATAAAGCAAGTAACTCCCGAAGCTCAAATCAAAATTTTTAAGCATGTCTTGAACAACCAGGAATTTTTATGCATGAATACATAAAAATGTGTCATGTATGGACACTCATATCAATGAGACATTTTGATTGGAGTTTCAACCAGATTTAATAAGAAAAATAAAAATAACTTGAAAAGAAGAGCAAGAGAAGTACAAAAGATCATATGTTCTTGTACATAATAGAAGTTGAAAGTAATTTTTGTAGAAAACAAACATCTAACATAAGCATATTTGGTTCATAAACTTTTTTAAATTTTTATATGTGCTTTAGTTATAAAATCAATCAAAAATTGATCATAATTAGCTTATTCCTTATTGATTTTAGCTAATTATGACTAAGTTGAATTATCAATAATATAGTTGGAAAAAATAATAATAATTTTGAAGTTATAGATGAAATTTTTTTTCTATTTCATATGAAAGTCTTGTTTTTAATAAAAAAAAAATCTTTACTAAATATTAGTTTGACTATGCAATAGAATGTTATTGCTTAGACCAAGTCTGTAATTTGGATAA